TATCTTCGTTTTAGTCTTTCCTCCTTATCCTGTCTTTTTTGTGTATCTTCGTTTTTAGTCTTTCCTCTTCATCCTGTCTTTTTTGTGTTCGCTTTTGTGAATATTCTTTTTTCTTCCTGTTTTGACTGTTTTTGTTAATATGTTTTTCTCTTTTTTCCATTCTTAGTTTCTCTCCTTATATTTTTTTCTTCATTCATTGTTTTCGTTGTTTCTTTTCCGTTCCTTCAGTCCTTTCTCTTTTCTTTTCCTCTTCTTCTTCCTTATCCTCTCTCTTCTTTTTTTTCTTATTTCTCTTTCTTCTCCTTACTTCTTCTTTTCCTTTCTCCCCTTTCTTCTACCTGTTCGTTTTTTCTTTTCCTTTTTTTTTTCTCCTGCCTTCTCCTTCTCCTTCTCTTTATTCCTTCATTCTGTCTCCTCTCTTCTTCTTATCTCTTTTTCACCTTCCTTTCAGCTCCTTCTCCTCTTTTCTCGTCTTCTTCCTTCTCTCTTGTATTTTTCTTTTCTTTTTTTATCGTATTTCTTTCGTCCGTCTTCTCCCTTGTTCTTGTTTCTTTTCCTTCCTCCTCCTCTTCGTCCCCTTCTCCTTTTCCTCCTCCTCTTTTATCTCTTTCTCCCCCTCCTTCTCCTCCCTTCACCTTTCTTCCTCTCCTTCTTCTTCTCTCCTTTTCCTCCCTTCTATTTTTCCCCTTTCCCTCTTTCTCCTCCTCCTCTTTTTTCTTCCTCCCTCCTCCTCTTTATCTTCTTCTTCCTCCTCTCCTCCTTCTTCTTCTTCTCCTTTACTCCTCCTCCTTCTTTTTCCCGTCCTTCCTCCCCCTCCTCTTCTTCTTTCCTCTCTTCCTCCTCTATCTTCCCCCTCCTCCTCCTCCTTCTTCTTCTTTCCTCCCCTCCTCTTATCCTTCAACTCCTCTCCTCCTCCTCTTCTTTCTCTTTCCTCCCCTCCTCCTCCTCCTCCTCCTCCTCCTCCTCCTCCTCCTCCTCCTCCTCCTCCCTCCTCCTCCTCCTCTCCTCCTCCTAAATTCTCTCTATTCAAGTACTTATTAGAGAACCGAAGTACGCTCCTAATCAATTTTTCTTAATTGTAACTCCACTAATGATGATTGAACTAATTACCAAGATTGATGCAATGAGGCCGTGTAGAGCAGTGATTGATGAGTTGATGAACGGTTTGGGTTGATAAGGTTAGAGGGGGGGGGGGGTGTAGGGGGGGGGAATTGATGAGTTTGGAGGGAGGGAGAAGGGGGGTAAGTAGAATGGAGGAGGTTGGGGGGAGGGAGGGTGGTTGACAGATGGAAGGGGGGGGGGGGAATGGTAGGGAGGGTAGATTAATAGAAGAGGAGGGAGGGGGGTAGACAGGAGGAGGGGTGGGGGGGGGGGCGTAGGGAGGGTAGACAGGCCGGGGCGTAGACGGGTGGGCGTGACAGAGAGCGAATCAAATTTCCATCTCATAAGACACATAAAATACATTAAAATGACAAATGGTTTAAATCGCAACAGGAGGTAATGGATTAATGGACAGGGATGATACCGGTCAATGACTCGCCATAAGCTGATATGATTTTATGATCGTAATGCTATTGATGATTGCCTTGCAGCTGAATTTTTAACGCACACACACACACACACACACACTTACACACACACACACACACACACACACACACACACACACACACACACACACACACACACACACCACACACACACACACATATATATATATAATATATATATATATATATATATATATAGTATATAATATATATATATATATATATATATATATACATATATATATATATATATATATATATATATATATATATATATATATGTATATATATATATATATATATATAATATATATATGCATATATAGATATAGATAGATAGATAGATAGATAGATAGATAGTATAGATAGATAATAAGATAAGACAGACAAAGCTGGTAAGGACAAAACATAGAAAAAGAAAGAGAAATAACGAGAGAAAGCAATAAAGACAGAGAGGAAGAGAGAGACAGAGACCAAAATAAGAGAAGCCATCATAGTATACAAAGATCAAATGACATTTAATAAACGGGAGTGACCTTTCTGGTGCGAAAAAAAAGAAAAAAAAAAAAAAGAAAAAAAGAAAAAATACAGGCTTTTTACCAAATTGAAGGCGTTATTAGAGCGGATGTTTGTAATAACTTTATCTAATAAAAGAATGAAAACAAGTTAGTTAATTCTTGATGAAGAGGAGAAGTAGGAAGATATAGATGCAGGAATTTGATTGATTTGGCGTATCAGGTGTTATATACGTTCAATAAATAAAAGGAAGTGGAGTAATGTTTGATAATGATTAAGGAAACTACGCGATATATAATAAAAAATCATAATTGTTAATGGCTGATCGTTTATGCATAATAAATAAGCAGATAGATTTGTTATCTGTCTTTAGAATGCCCGCAATTTTGTTGATTATCAGTATCTAGATGTTATTGATAATTTCTGGATAAAACATTCCAACATTTACCAACACATACCTAACAAAAATGTGTAATATAAACATACATACACACACACAAACGTATAGTATATATATATATATATATATATATATATATATATATATATATATATATATATATATATATATATATATATATATATAGTAATATATATATATATATATATATATATATATATATATATATAGATATATATATATAATATATACATATATATACTATATTGAAATCCCCACAAAAATGATATATAATAATAATGGATAAAGGTAAAAATATATATTTTCAAAAATGCAATAATACTTCCTCTTCCCCATCTTAAGAAATAAAAGAGAGAGAGAGAAGAGAGAGAGAGAGAGAGAGAGAGAGAGAGAGAGAGAGAGAGAGAGAGAGAGAGAGGAGAGAGAGAGAGAGAGAGAGAGAAAGGAGAGAGAGAAGTGAAGAGAAGAAGAGAGAAAGAGAGGAGAGAGAGAGAGAGAGAAGAGAGAGAGAGAGAGAGAGAGAGAGAGGAGAGAGAGAGTAGAAGAGAGAAAAAGAAAGAGAGAAAAAGAAAGAGAGAGAGCAGAGAGAGAGAGAGAGAGAGAAGAGAAGATAAAGAAAACAAGACCATCTTACTCATTCATTCATTTCTTCGGCCTTTAATTGAGCGAGAAATCGATGGGAACAAAGGACACAAGAGAGAGATAATGAGAGATTTTTATCACCCTTCCGATGGGCGGAAAGAGACCGGCGTGGATTTTTTGTTTTTGTTTCTTTTTGGTTTTATTTTGTGTTTGTTTAGTTGGGTTTTGGGGATTGGTGTGTCTTTGTTTGATTTGTGTTTATATTTCGTTGTTTTTGTGTTTTGTTGTTTTGTTTTTTTTGTTTTTTGTGTGTTGTTTGTTTACTTGGTTTTTTGTGTTTTTACTTGTTTTTGTTTTTTTGTTTGTGTTTGTTTACTTGTTTTTTGTTTATTTTGTTTTTCTGATTGTTTGATTCTACTTGCTCTTTATTTGTTTTCTGTGTTTTTTGTTTGGACGATTTGTGTATTTGTTTTCTAATGTGTGTTTTATTTCATTTTTTTTGTGATTTTTGTTTAAGAATTTCTAAACACGAGGCATAATCCTGTCTGGTTTCTTTTCATAGGCTAGTAGAGTAAATTTTGTGTCTGTCATTTTCTCTCCGTCTCTCTTTCTCTCACGGTTTATTTATATGTGTGTGTGTGTGTGTGTATGAACGCGAGCGCGTGTGTAACCATAAATATAATATTAAAACAATGTAGATATCGCAAATCTTTTTAAACGTTTTAATATAATTAGTTACTGCTGTGCTATTATACTTCTATTAACCCAGGGGTGCCAGGCTCATGGTATGCGTGCCAAATGTGCCCCGCGGGACGGTCAGAAAAAAGAAAAATATCAGCCTGTGAAATTATGATAGATAGAGGAAAGTAATGCGTTCAAGATGTATTTAACTATTTTAATGAAAATCATGTATCATTTTCCAACCGAAGATACTAGTATCGTTTTTTTTTTTTTTTTTTTTTTATTCCTTTTTAATTACTCAGTTATACATAGCTATGGCAAGTTATATTCAAAAAGAAGATGCATCTTTGTAATAGTCCAAGGCAATTTTGCAATAATGACAGTTCCGCCTTGTAAATTCTTAATCTCTCTCTTATATAATTTAGTAAGATTAACCGCGTACAGGTATACCAGGCAGTCTTTATTAACGTAACCCGGGAAGCCAGATTATATAGCTTTGTAAGCCCTTTAAGACTTTATCAGAAATGAAAATTTGGCTTTCGGTGGATTCTGAGTCTGGTGCAGTCGCGGTCATGACTCTTGTCGAACTTATTTCGAATCCCGTCTCGAACACGCGCTTATCGAACCACTTCTTATAGGGTAAGGCAAGTTCGAAGCTTCAATTCATGACTTTTTGTCCGTCACTGCATAGGGTGAGACGGATTCGAAGCTCCAGTTCATATGACGTTTTGTCCGTCGAAGTAAAAACAGATTCGGAGATTCAATTCATTTAAATCCCTTTTGTTTGTCACTGTATAGGGTAAGACAGGTTCAAAGCTTCGATTCATTCAAAGACTTTTCATCCGTCACTGTTCCCACCTGTTCTCAAGCCCTCCTCGCCTCGACCTCCCTCTCTGACCCTCCCCTCCTTCCGCCTCTCCCACAGGATGCTCCTCCTCTGCATCTGGCTCTTCAGCGTGCTGTTCTGCGCCATGCCCCTGTTCGGATGGGGTCAGTACGCCCTCCAGTATCCCGGCTCCTGGTGCTTCGTCAACATCCACGTCTGCGCGGACACGCCCCTCCACCACCTCATCTACACCAACATCTTCGGCGCCTTCACCATCATCAACCTGTTCGTCATGGTCGTCTGCAATGTGGTCGTTATCAGTAAGTAACGAGCGAAGTGTTGTTCTAAGCCTCGTTGGAGGGATTCGAACGAGGTCGTGGTTGTGCCTGGTATGGTACTGTTGATATTATTATTGATATTATTATCATTATTATTATTATTATTAAATATTATTATTATTATTATTATTATTTTGATATGTTTAGTTACGTTGAGGTGGTCCGGTCGATGTACGACTATTGTGGATTTTTTGTCGTAGATAGATAGGTAGGTAGGTAAGTAGGGAGAATTCTAAACAGAGTAATTGGTAGATCAGTAGGTATGTAGATACATAGTTGTACAGTTGCAGATAGAGAGGTCGTTATACGGACATACAGGCAGACAGACAGATAGGCAGACAGACTGACAGACAGACAGATAGACAGACAGACAGGCTGACAGACAGATAGACAGATAATAGACAGATAGACACACAGCCTTACAGACAGACAGACAGGCTGACAGACAGACACACAAACAGTAGATAGACAAATAGACAGACAGGCAGACAGACAACAGACAGATGAACAGACAGACAGACAAACAGACAGATAAAAGACAGACAGACAAACAGATAAACAACATAGAGATAAACAGACAGACAGGCAGGCAAGTAGGCAGACAGACAGACAGACACAGACAGACTGGTAGAATGATAAATAGCCATAAGATAAAACACACATCGTTAAAGGAAAAGATGTAGATAAAGACATAGATCCTGATACAGAGATAAAGATACAGCCCCCTCTCCCTCCCCCTCCCCCCCTTGCCCGCCCGCTACCCAACCAGCAACGAATCCCTATTTCCGCATTACGCCAACGACCTCTCGGCCCCACTAAGTCTCTACTTTACGACCCGGAAAAAAGCGAGCCTCCCCCACCCCTTAAAAAAAAAAAAAAAAAAAAAAGTTGAGATGTCAGTGTTTGCTTTCAAGTGCGAGCGAGCGACCACGTAAGGACGAGCTCTCGAGGCCGATGTAATCGATGCTTTCTCGAGGAACAGGGAGGAATAGGGTATACGAGGGTGAGGCTAAGTGTTTGTCCGCATAGCACTTCAAGGTTGAAGCAAAATAGACACTCTTGCATATCCAAACAAGAGGGGGAGGGGTGGGGGGTTGGGGTGGGGACAGATGGAGGTGGGGTAGAGAGGGAAGAGTGGTGGGTAGGAGAGGGGAGGGAAGGAGGGAGGGAGGGATGGATAAGGGATGAGGGTAGGAGAGGAGGGAAAGATTGGAGGGATGAGGGTAGGAAGGGAGGGAAAAGGGGGGGGAGGGAGGGAGGGAAGAAAAGAAGGTGGGAGAGTGATAGGCGGGAATGAGGGGGAGGGAGGGTGGGAAGGAAGGGAAGAGGGAGGATGGTAAGAACGGAAGAAGGAAGAAGGAGGGGAAAGAAGAGAAGGGAAGGGAGGATAAAGTGAGTGAGTTTTTGGTGAAGTGAGTGAGTTAGGAGGGAGGGAGGGGAGGGGATGATATGGAGATGGAATAGAGTGAGGGTGGGAGGAGAGGGAGTGAAAAATAGATTGAAGGAGGGGGAGAGGGAGGAGGGGGAGGGGCGGGGAAGAGGGGGGGGGAAGCAGGTCGAGGGCGGGATGGAAATAGTGGGAGTAAAGACTATTTCATTTTCTCTTTATTTTTATACATTTGTCTCTTTTTACTTTTTTTTCATTTTTTTTTTTGAGAAGGGGACGTCTTGTTCTTTTGCTTGAATGTGTTTATTGTTTGTGTTATATGTATTTGTATGTCTGTCTGTCTTAACCGCATATCATCAATCACGTTCTTTGCTTTTTAATACTTTTTATGACTTCATGTTTGTAATCTACTAATTTCCAACTGACATCCTTATTTACTTATCTTATCAATTGTAAATCAATAATAATATTCTAAGATATTATTTACATGCAATTTGATATATTATATTATATTTATTATAATAAATTAGATTTAATTATAATGATATATAACGTAGTATATGTCTGATTTCAATTACGCATCTAATTGTCTTCCTTAGATATTCTATATTGTTTTTCTGTTGTCTCTTGTCTTTTATTCCGCCGTTGTGCTACAGACTTAAGGCTTACGGTTCATTTATTGTTGAATACGCAACAGTTAGCTGGTCGATTAGGACGGGGTCTCATGTGCTGGGTGATATAGCTTGTTTTTATTTTACATCTTTATTCGTTTTCTGGAGTTTTTGAATTACGACACTGATGTACCACTTGTCTCATTGAAGCGGCCGTACCGGTAATGCGGGGAAACAAAAGGAATTAGCAATGCTTCGACCATTAATTCCTATAAGTTGTTAGCTGGGCGTTTTTGGTCCCTAGTGTATGCTTATTAACTGCTTATACTACTTTAATTATTAATTATGCATACTTGTCTCCTAATTAGGTTTGTTCAATCAATATTGTTACACCCAGAAACTTCTGGGTATATTTTATTGTATAATTTTGGTTCTGTTTCATTCTCTTTCTTCTCTCTCTCATTCTGTCTGCCATTTTCTCTTCGCCTGTCCACTTCCTCATCTCGCACAGGGCTTCTTGTTCTTCATTTCTTCTCTCTTCTTTCCGTCTGTCTTCTCCTATCTCTTCGTTCTCTCTCGTTATTTACGCTTTCTCTCTCTTATGTTGTAAGTTTCTTCGTCTCATCTCCTCGGCTCTCTTCTCTCTTCTTGTTTCTCTCTCTTCTGCTCTCTCATTCATCTGTCTCTCTCTCATTCGTTCTCCTTTTCTCTCTTCTCCATCTCTGTTTTGTTCTGTTGTTTATTTTTTTTATTTTCTTTCTTTATTTTTTGTTTTTGTTTTTTTTTCTCTCTTTTTTTTTTTTTTTCTTTTTTTTTTTTTTTTCTATTATATTTCTATTTTTATTATTCTTATTTCTTTTTTTCTTCTCTTTTTATGCTGTCTCTCTTCGTTCTTCTCTTTCTGTTTTTTGCCGCTCTCTCTTTTCTTTTTTTTTTTTTTTTTATTTTTTCTCTCTCTCTTTTATTTTCATCTTTCTCTTTCTATTTTTCGTTCGTTATTTTTTTATTTTTTATTTTTATATTTTTATTATTCTTTCTATTTTTGTTTTTTTTTTTTTTCTCTTCTCTTTTCTTTTTCTTTTTTTCTCTTCTTATCTCTCTCTTTCTCTTCTGCTCTTTCTCTCTCTCATCTCCTTCCACACCTCTATCACTCGCTGGTTGTGGCATGCGTTAATCACCGAACTGGTAACTGCTATATCTACAGTTATAATTCAGCTGTGGGAGGGAATGTGTTGTTCTGCACAACTCTTGTAATGCTGGATTGGTGATTTCTTGCGTGTTTTTGTTTTGCGATAGTGATGGTGATATGTCTTTGAGGTTTTTGGCTATTTGTGAGAAGTAAATACTTTTGCTTGTTTCTAGAGGTCAGTATTTATTTTTTTTTTTTTTTCTATTTTTTTTATTGTATTCATCAGTTGATTGCGTAAGGGTATAGTCATTACTGTAGGTAGTGCATGGTGATGGAAAGTTAGCTCTAGTTGCTATCTAATTTAGTGTGGGGTGGTGGAATTGATATGACTTTGTATTGATGATTACGATTTCTATATTTAAATGAGAAACTAGGAAGTATAGAGTGGCAATAAAGAGTTAAAGGATTAGAAAAAAGACTTAATTCAACTCTGTTACAATCTCAATATTATCAGGCATTAGATGGGGTTTAACTAGAGTAGCACAGAAGTATTTTTTTTTTTATTCTTGTTTTTAACGTGTTTCTCTTTCTGTCTTCTTCTGTTTTTCTTTTCTGCCTCTTTTCCCTTTTTTTTTTTCTCCACTCTATTATATATTTTTCTTCGTTTTCAGTTTCTCTTTCTTCCTCTACTTTTTCGTTTTTTTATCTTATGTTTTTTTTCTTTTTTTTCTTCTTTTTTGCCTCTCTCTTTTGCTTTATTTTGTTTGTTTTTTTTTTTTATCTTTTTTTCCATGTTCTCATTCTCTCAGATATACTTCTTTTTTAATTTGTACTTTTTTTCTGGTTCTTTTTGTCTTTCTCTCGTATCCTTTTTTTTCTTTTTTTCTCTTTTTCTGTTCTTTTTTTTTCTCTTCTTTTTTTTTCTTCTCTGCATTTCCTTTTTTATCTTCTCCTTTCTTTTACTCATTTTTTTTTTCCCTCTTCTCCTTTCTTTCTTTATCCATCTTTCTCCCTCTCAAGCACCCTTTATTTCTCTCGGTCTCTCTTTTCCTCAAGCTTTCTTTTTTTTCCATATCTCGCGTCTCCATCTCCTCCCTTGTGCTTTCAACTCAGTGGTTTTTCTACTTCTATTCTCCTCCACTTTTCTTTCTTTTTCCTCCTCTCTTCCTTACTCAACTCTTCAACCACATTTCATTCTCCTTCCTTGCTCCATTCCTCCTCACTCCTTCCTCACTGAATTTTTCCTATTCTCGCCTTCTCCTCTCTCCTTTCCACCCTCCTTCCCTTCATAATTTCCACTTTTCCCTTTCTAACCTACATTGCTCTCTCGATCTCTTTCTCTTTACGTTTCACCTCATCTCCTCATTTACTTTCCTGCCTTCCCCTCTTACGCAATACTCTTACGAAAACCAATACAAAAGAGTAGCACAAGGGTACTTCCCGTTCATGCGTGATGCTAAATTGCACTCTATACACAAGGACGAAGAACCATTGAGTATTGACAACATGTTAAGGATGTGGTAATAGGATAAAGGAGGAAATGTACGAAGCACGAATGAAAAGGGGGAGGGTGAAGAAGGACGGAATAAAGATGGAAGAAGGGGGAATACAGATGAAGATGGATGATATGAAGAGGGATGGAAATAAAGATGGAGGAAAGTGAAATATAGATGAAGAAGGATGATATATAGATGAAGAGGATGGAAGAAAGATGGGAGAAAGGTGAAAATGTAGATAAAGGAAGAGGAAATAAAGATAGATAAAGAAGGATGTTAGAGAGATAAATTCAGGATACAAGCGGCGTAAGAAGCAACGTGAAAGGGCAGAGAAAAATAAAGGTTGGAAAATAACAAAT